TCACTTGTGTTGCGGGAACAGGGGATGCAACTGAAATGGGCCAACCAGTTTTCGGGTCATCGGGTGGAAACGAAATGGTTAAGAAAAAATGTTACTTTTTTTTTTTAGATTTTATGAGTTTTTTAGTTCTGGATTGAAATAAAATTAAAATGTAATAATTATTTCTTAATAATAAAATAATAATATCATGAATACATTATGATGTTTAGTTCTTAATTATAAATATTTTATAATAATTTTATTATTACGAGAATTTTTTTAAAAAAATTTGTGTTTAACATTAATTTTACAATAGAAATGATTGTATATATAGTCATACAAAAATAACAGAAAGCAAATGTAACCTGATAAATATGAATCAAAGATCATTATCAGTGCCTTAATTTACAGAGATTATAAAAAACAGGAAGCTGAAAGACTAAGTCAACAACTAAATTTTCATAACATTCCCTCTCTTAAACTGATGACATTGTCTTCAGTTTACTTCTAGATTCTGACAAACACCCAGCAACATACGCAGTTTCTCAAAAACAACTCGTGTAAAGGATTTGGTCATGATATTAGCCACTTGCTCCTGAGTATGAAAATTCTGCAACGTCACAATTCCATCTTGAGTAAAGTCATGAAGGAAGTGAAAGCGAACATCGATATGTTTGCTTTAACCATGTATGACCAGGCTTCTTGTCAGGTTAATAGTAGAATTATTATCACAATACACCACTGTAGCTCCAACAAGGGCATGATTAAGGTTTTTTAACATTCTTCGCAACCACATAGCTTGACAAAAACAATAGGCAGCAATAATGAACTCAACTTTAGTAATTGAGAGTGTAACTATATGTTGCTTCTTTAAGGACCATGATATAGCTCTAGAGGTCAGCAAAAATGAGAAACTTGATGTACTTTTTCTATCCTCCGAATCTCCTGTATAATCACTGTCAATGTAGGCAATAAGCTTTTCATTACCATCTTGTTTATAAAAAATTCCACATGCAAATGTCCACTTTATATAATGAAGTACTCTCTTAATAGCTTGAAGGTGGATTTCTGTAGGATGTGCCAAATATCTGCTAAGCAAACTAACAATGAACATAATATCCGGTCAGGTAGATGTTAAGTACATCAAACTTCCTACCATTTGCATATTCAAGGTGTTGTTCATTGTTATGCTAATAGAGTCTTTAACCGACTTGAATCCTGGAACAATAGGATTACTTACGACATTACAACTAGCCATATTAAACCTTTTCAACACCTCCTAGGCATACTTCCTTTGACAAATAAAAATACCATCAGCTTGTTGTAACACTTTTGAACTAAGAAAATATTGCATTCGTCTAAGATCGATCATATAAATTTTGTCATCATGGAACTTTTAAAAGAGCTAAATAAAGTCTCATCATTTCTAGTAAAGATGAGGTCATCTATATAAAGGCACACAAGCAAGAAAGTACCTTGTGAAGATTTTTTAAGGAACAAAGTATTCTCATAAGGACATTTCTCAAACCCTTCCCTTAGAAAGTAAGTTTCAATACGGCTGTACCATATTCGTGGAGCTTGTTTCAAACCGTACAAGGCTTTTCATATTCGATATACCTTATTCTCTGCTCCTTTTACAACATAACCAAGGGGTTGCTCAATGTAACACCCTAATTCTTTTATTATTATTATTATTGGAATAATTTTTATTTTATTTTATTTTAATTATTATAATTGATTTATTATGTAATAATTATATGGTTTTAAATTTAGTTTAATTTAATTAAATGGAAATAAAAATAATAACAATGATAAAAATAGGTAAAATTATTTTTGGGATTTAATTGAAAATAATTTTGGAAAAAAAGGGTGAAAATTCATATTCTGGGGGTGTTTTTGAAAAGAAAATCGAAAACCGGAGGTCAAAATGTAATTTAAAAAAATTGCGCCACGTCAGCAGACGGTCAGCAGCCCCGGCCAACCAGGACACACCGCGTGGCAGAGACGCTGATACGGGAGGCCACATAGAATGGAGCCACGTGGGCGATTCACATGCGCGCGATCGGACGGCTGAGATCCATTCCCGCGCGCATGGACAACCCAGATCAAAAGTGCGTGCGAACGGCCCAGATTTCACACGTGCGGACGGCCCAGATTGTATCACGCACTAACGGTCCATATTGCATCGCGATGGACGGTCCAGATTCATTCTCAATTTAATCGCGATCGGACGGCTCAGATTAAATCATGATGGACGGCTCAGATTAAAAGGAAAATGTTATAAATAATCTCATCCACACCCAACTCCAAACCCTAGGCGCTAGAGCCCTCGCCAGAGAAGACAACCCAGCTGCCGGGGAAACCGACTGCCGCCACCCGTCGCTGCATCGGAGCACTTTTCGGCCGCTAAACGAGGGAAAATTTCTCCCCTTGGCTCAGATTTCATTGCTGAACCCACCTGTGGCCAAATCGGAGCCAAACCACCAGCCAATTGGCCGAAAAATACCGCTGAAGCCCAGCGGCACCGCCGCAGGTTTTTTTTGATTTTTGCCTCCGATGAGGCCCTTTCCGATTTTCGTTCGATGTAATTTTTACACCACTGTAACCACCGTCCTTTCCTCTACAAGTTCACTGGAGCAAAACGCCAAATCGTGACTCGCGCCGGAGGAGCCACCGCACCCGAGAGCTCCGTCACCGGTAAGTCTCAATTTTTTATATTTTTTGGCCCACCGAGGGCCCTACGTGTGTTTCCT